ACTTGAGAAGCCTCGCCTGACCAGGATTCATTACCTCCCGCGTTCCAGGAGCACACTTTCGGATCTCCACTCTCTTCCCTCGCTCCGCCGGGCAGAGCCGCCACAATGTGCTGCGAGCCGGGAAGTGAACTCCCATCATTATTTTTCAAAGTCTGGGAAGTGTATTATCCTTTTTCCTAGTGGTAATTAGTTACCATAGCATCTAATACGTAAATGTGCCCAGAGCACACCATTAACAGTTAAACGGAGGATTCAATTTAACACATGATTATATCTTTCATAAGTCATTACATTGGAAAAGTCAATGCCACTTCCTGGAGCAATCGCAGGGTCGGGGTCGCCTAGAAAGGTTCGGTTCTGGCGGCGGTGACCAAGAGTGCGTGGAAAAAGGAAACTCCGTGAGACTCGGTCTTCCCCAGGGGACTGTCGGCTGTGAGGATGGGTAGTGGGGCGACGAGAGGAAGAATTTCGGTTTAAAACAGGGTCTTGGAGGGGTTGCCAGTTGCAGTCCAGAGCGCACTGCAAAGCGCGCACACGGGCGCGCGCGCGCGCACAGACGCACCACGCGAAGAGCGGAGGAGGGGTAACTAGAGAGCTTTCTGAAGATGATCATTTGTTGGGCCTGGGTAAATAAAAAGCTGCAGCTTCTGTGTCCAGTGTCAAGCTGACCAGAGACTCAAAGTGGGTGTAAAAAGCCAAGTGAAACTTAAGTTTTCCCTGGGATTCATCTGCCCACTCCTAGTTCCCTAAGGAACCCAAACTGAGGGATTGGCCCGCCCGAGGTGCGCCTGGTAGAAGTGTCCCCAGGCGCGGTGGGTGCCAGAGCAGTCTCCCCTGCGAACCTCTACGCTCTGCCACTCTCCACAGTCTTAAGGGCCTGACTGCCTGCTCTGGCCCAAGGGCACTTCGTCAAGAACACACTGGACCCCCTGGTGTTCAGTCACCCAGTCTTGATCCAGCTGCCCAAGTTGTGCTCACATCTGGGGCCCAGCCCAGAGATGTACGGCCCAAACTCTCCAGATCAAGCGGAAATTCAGGGCTCAAACCTCAGAAGAAATGCGGCCTCAGGTGTTTTGTCGGGAGGGTGAAAATGTTCTCACTCCAACCACCGGTTTTCTCCAAAAACTGCTGCAAGCATAAATTGTGAAAAGGTTGGGGTTAGGGTAGGGAGAGCCACTTAAGTAAATTGGAAGACCTTCTGTTCTTTCAGACGTCCCACACTATTCCTACAACCACATGCTAAAACTCTTAGGTATAGAAAGAAGGTTGATTTGACTGAAATTATTAAAATGAAAATAAACACCATTAATCCTGGTACATTTAATAGTTGCTTATTCATCTGACATTTCAAGGTATTTTCAAATTACCTCTCTTGCTCCCACCCCCATCCATTTCAAGTCTCTTCAGGACTAAACCTGGAGGCTGAGTGAGAAATAGGTAAGTATTTCTTTTTTTTCCCTTCTGAATTTCAAGGTTTGTTATTCTGCCCAATTCCTAATAATACTCGAACAGTACAGAGGTGGTAGAGGAAGTATTTCAAGGAGGCCTTTTAATAATGAGAAATATTAAGCAGTAAATCTTGCAGCAAATGTGTCCCTTACAATGTTAATATGCAAAAGGAAAAAAAAAATCCGACTGGTGGTGGCTGTGGTTAATTCCTAATCAGAATGATGGACAGCAGGGCCAGAACAATACAAACTAATGGCTGTGTTGCTGATCACTTTACCCCTTGATTAAAGACACCCAATTATGGCGCAGAACAGTGTCGTAATTATGTTTCTTAATCACATCCAGGAGGTTTAATTGCCTTAACGATGTGTTTCATTAAATGAATTTAGGTATTATAGTCGACAGTTTTCATACACAGTTGTTTTCAAATTAACATAATATTAGACATCGTCATGGAAATTGTTTTAATAATCATAATTAGATGCACCCAGGCTTTGTCTGGTAAATGCTAAGAGACGTTCTTCTCCTGCCTGGGGGCTGCCCTGTTCTCTTCCCTCTCTCTACCCCCACTCCCAGACTGGGAGGGCTCCAGCTTCAAGGCCCTTTGCTGTTATGTTTTCTGAAAAGTTACAGGTTCTGATTAATCTTCTTTGATGGCAAGTGGAGCAGAAAATATCCTCCCTCACCCCCCACTAAGTTTGATGGCATTTAGGGATATCTTTATGAGCTGAGGCTACACAGACAAAAATGCATTTAACATTACTGGCTACAGAGGAAACACCATGACTTCTTAACACCATATCACCACCACCATCACCACCAACTCTATAACCTCCACTACAATACAAATCACACCTTCTACATTTGAGAGCAATATAGAGGTCCAAATACAAGATTATCCTTCAACCTTCAGTAGCATACAGGTCCAAACCAATCCAAATATATATATATATAAAAATCTCTTTAACCAGCAACACCTACAGTAAGCTCTGGAAATCTCTATGGGCATTTGTTGACACATGTAATTCAACCTAGCCAATTGACTCTTTTAACACACACCAAAAAAAGTGGAAAACCACATGAAGATTCATTGTTCAGAAAATCTAAATCCATCTCTTTTTCCTTGGCTTTCAAGTATTTGGAAGTAGAAATTTTGAATAAAAACTCTTTAGAAACTTCACCCACTTTGGTGGGCTCTGGCAAGGTTATCAATGTCATTCAAGTGGAAAAGAATTCCAGGGAAAGCATGGCCTTCTGAGTTCATTCCAGCAGCCAGGAACTCTGGACCTCTTCTGGGTTCCACCACTGACCCCATTCACCTCTCTTTGCATGGCCAGGCCTAGCAATTGTCCTTTTAACAAGTAAACAAGTAAACTAGGACTATTCCTAATTGTGCATTCCTGCCAAAATTTTAGTTCCACCTTTTCTGAAAACTCCTTTCTGTTCTGTTACCTTTCAAGCAAAAAGTAACACAGAAGAGAGGTGTTGCTCCTTCCACAAAGCACAGCATAATAAAATGTTTGATCAAAATATTTTAATAAAGATTCTTTCTGACATAGATACACATACAAATGGTCATACATAGCTGTCATATTCTGATTGACCTATTTAATATATATTATTCTTTACACATCCAAACCCACCAACAGATCCATCACAGCTCCCAACTCACCATCCAACCTGACAAACTGAATTTGTTTTATCTTCAAGGAGTGGAAAATAACAGGACTCCATTTAAAAAAAAAAGAAGAAGAAGAAGAAGAAGAAGAAGAAAAAGAAAAAAAGATTTTCTTGATTTTCATAGGATGGAAATGCAGGCAAACAGCCATGCAAACTAAAACTGAAAGCTCACTTTGGGTAAATAGCTTCTTGCTTTTCCTTAGTTTTATTTCATTTTTTTAAATTTTTTTTTTTAGAAAAATAACAAAGGATTTCACACCACAGACAAAACAAACCAGTCTTTAAACTTAAATAGTTTTCCACAGTTAAAATAACTTATATGTACATATATTTTAAAAGCAATTAAATTAGACCTCTTTAAAAAAAAAAGAAAAAGAAAAAGAAAAAGCACAGCATAGCCTGGAAAAAAATATTTGCTTAGTATGTTTTTACTTATAGGATCTATTGCTGTGATGTTTTTTTCCCTTTTGGAATGCAAATAAGTCCCCTTTCAAAAAAAGAGATCAATTCATTCATCAATTAAGAATACACCTTTCCTGTAATTTTTGGACTGAAGCAATTTATTAAAGCTCAATTTAAATACAGGGATGATGCAACTGAAAATATCCAGGTGACCTTTCATAAACCTAAGCAGCTCAGATACATCAATATTTCTCTTCATACTTGTTGGCAAATAAACCTTTTAACACTTGGCACACAGTATAAGTTAATCTATAAAACAGAATTTTAGAGGCATTAAAAAAATCTGCACATAAGACCCATGACCTTAACACATGATAAATACTGTTGATGTGGAAGGGTCATTGAAGAATAACAAATAAATACCATGAATTGTTAATACATCATTGCAGAGTAGAAAGTAACAAGGTGCACATAAATATTTTTAAATGCAATTCTTTCAGCCACAGTTTGCTTTTATATCACTCTCGCCAGAACTTTGAGCATTTTCACAGGATTAAAGTTCAGAGACAATAAAAAATACAAGTCTTTCATAGCAACATGTCTCTCTCTGTTTTCCCCCCACTTAAATAAGTCTACATTTCAAGTTTTTCTCCTGGCTCAGAATCAAAATTTATTTTCAAGTGCCCTTTCTGATTTGTCTGAATGAATATTCCGTTCCACATGTCTCCCAAGCCTGGACTCCTTCTCTCCCCTTCAGCACTAGCCAAATTCACAATTATTAGTAGGATTAGTATTTTGCCATTCAATACTCTCAACGCTTAATAACCAAGCACTATTTCTCAACTTATTTTTCACCTTTAAGGAAGACTTTGCTTCCTTGAGGTCTAGGCTGCCACCAAAGTTGCCACTTTTCTGAGAAAAAAAAAAAAATAGACATCCATACTCCATCCCAACTCCACCTCCCTCCTCCCTCCCTCCCCACCCCAAAGACCGAGATTCTGGGGATGTCAAGGCTAAAAGTCCCGTTTGTCTCTGATACTTCTCAGTTCTTGCCTCTGCTTTGTTTGCTCAGCAAGTGTTTCACAACTACGAGAGGACCAAAATAAAAGGGGTGGGGAGCAGCTTTTCGCTTTCCTCTAGCTTTTGGGTCGGTCTTGTGTTTTTCAGGGGTGTGTTTAAGGCTTCTCCGTGCACTGTTTGCAGAGGCTGGAGGAGACGCTGTTGAACAGGGCGCACTTCTCCGGGCAGGAGGCGGCTGGGGGTAGCCCAGCGCTAAACGGGTAGCCAGCCGCTTGCTCGTAGGCGCCGAGTGCTGGGTGCAGAGCAGCGGCTGCCGCTGCCGCCGCCGCGGAGCTGGGTAGGGAGGCGGCCGAGATGGCCTGGCCCTGATTGAGGTAGGCGACTAGGCGCCTCATCTCTTCCAGGGCCTGAGCCTGCATGAGGATATAGTTCTTGGCTAGCAGTAGCGTGGCGATCTTGGACAGCTTCCGCACTGAGGGGCTGTGCGCGTAGGGGATCACCGCACGCAGCTCGTCCAGCGCGTCGTTCAGGTCGTGCATCCTCCGGCGCTCCCGGGCGTTGATATTGAGCCGCAGTGCTTTTTGCTCTTTGGATTTCTTGCTGCTGCTGCTGCTGCCGCCGCCACCGCCACCGCTGCTGCTACCCCCGCCGCCGCCGGGGCCCCCCGGGGGGACACTGGCGCCTCCGTGGAGGTGGGCGTTGGAGCAGCCCTCTGCCGCCTTGGAGCTGCCACCTCCGGCGCCTGGGGATGCCCGCGGGTCGGTGCCTCCGGCTCGGAGCACCAGCTCGCAGCGGCCGTCGCTGTCGTCGTCGGGGCTCTGCTCTCCGCCGCTGCTCTCGGCCATCGAGCCGCGGC